TACAGTACGTATATACCCTCTGTGTCCATGTATTGTTTGTAATGGCTTGACAAAGCTCCTGGAGAAGAAAACGTTGCCGCAAAATGTTGCAGTAGTTGCAAGATCCCTTCACTATCATCCAGATCCCTTCACTATCATCCAGATCCCTTCACTATCATCCAGATCCCTTCACTATCATCCAGATCCCTTCACTATCATCCAGATCCCTTCACTATCATCCAGATCCCTTCACTATCATCCAGATCCCTTCACTATCATCCAGATCCCTTCACTATCATCCAGATCCCTTCACTATCATCCAGATCCCTTCACTATCATCCAGATCCTCACTTCCATCCTTATCATCCAGATCCCTTCACTATCATCCAGATCCCTTCACTATCATCCAGATCCCTTCACTATCATCCAGATCCCTTCACTATCATCCAGATCCCTTCACTATCATCCAGATCCCTTCACTATCATCCAGATCCCTTCACTATCATCCAGATCCCTTCACTATCATCCAGATCCCTTCGCTATCATCCAGATCCCTTCGCTATCATCAAGATCCCTTCACTATCATCAAGATCCCTTCACTATCATCCAGATCCCTTCACTATCATCTAGATCCCTTCACTATCATCCAGATCCCTTCACTATCATCAAGATCCCTTCACTATCATCAAGATCCCTTCACTATCATCAAGATCCCTTCACTATCATCAAGATCCCTTCACTATTCAGGTCACTTGTTCTATCTAGGCTGGAATATTGCTGCACTCTAACAGCACCTTTCAAGGCAGGTGAAATTGCCGACCTAGAAAATGTACAGAGAACTTTCACGGCGCGCATAACGAAGATAAAACACCTCAATTACTGGGAGCGCTTGAGGTTTCTAAACCTGTATTCCCTGGAACGCAGGAGGGAGAGATACATGATTATATACACCTGGAAAATCCTAGAGGGACTAGTACCGAACTTGCACACGAAAATCACTCACTACGAAAGCAAAAGACTTGGCAGACGATGCACCATCCCCCCAATGAAAAGCAGGGGTGTCACTAGCACGTTAAGAGACCATACAATAAGTGTCAGGGGCCCGAGACTGTTCAACTGCCTCCCAGCACACATAAGGGGGATTACCAACAGACCCCTGGCAGTCTTCAAGCTGGCACTGGACAAGCACCTAAAGTCGGTTCCTGACCAGCCGGGCTGTGGCTCGTACGTTGGTTTGCGTGCAGCCAGCAGCAACAGCCTGGTTGATCAGGCGCTGATCCACCAGGAGGCCTGGTCACAGACCGGGCCGTGGGGGCGTTGACCCCCGGAACTCTCTCCAGGTAAACTCCAGGTAAACTATCATCAAAATCCCTTCACTATCATCAAGATCCTTTCACTATCATCAAAATCCCTTCACTATCATCAAGATCCCTTCACTATCATCAAAATCCCTTCACTATCATCAAGATCCCTTCACTATCATCAAAATCCCTTCACTATCATCAAGATCCTTTCACTATCATCAAAATCCCTTCACTATCATCAAGATCCCTTCACTATCATCAAGATCCTTTCACTATCATCAAGATCCCTTCACTATCATCAAGATCCCTCACTATCATCAAGATCCCTTCACTATCATCAAGATCCCTTCACTATCATCAAGATCCCTTCACTATCATCAAGATCCCTTCACTATCATCAAGATCCCTTCACTATCATCAAGATCCCTTCACTATCATCAAGATCCCTTCACTATCATCAAGATCCCTTCACTATCATCAAGATCCCTTCACTATCATCAAGATAACTTTCTAAAGGAACAGGTGGGTCATAGTGAACCAACAGATGGAACAGGTGGGTCACAGTGAACCAACAGAAGGAACAGGTGGGTCACAGTGAGCCAACAGAAGGAACAGGTGGGTCACAGTGAGCCAACAGAAGGAACAGGTGGGTCACAGTGAGCCAACAGAAGGAACAGGTGGGTCACAGTGAGCCAACAGAAGGAACAGGTGGGTCACAGTGAGCCAACAGAAGGAACAGGTGGGTCACAGTGAGCCAACAGAAGGAACAGGTGGGTCACAGTGAGCCAACAGAAGGAACAGGTGGGTCACAGTGAGCCAACAGAAGGAACAGGTGGGTCACAGTGAGCCAACAGAAGGAACAGGTGGGTCACAGTGAACCAACAGAAGGAACAGGTGGGTCACAGTGAACCAACAGAAGGAACAGGTGGGTCACAGTGAACCAACAGAAGGAACAGGTGGGTCACAGTGAGCCAACAGAAGGAACAGGTGGGTCACAGTGAGCCAACAAGAGGAACAGATGGATCACAGTGAATCAACAGGAGGGACAGGTAGGGCATATTTCTACCAGTAAGAGGCCACAGGTCACAACAGGTGATGAACTGTCATAAACAGTTGATGGTTTGGCCAGCACATCAAATGTATAGTTAAGGTGAGAGGAAGCAAATGTGACAGCAGTTGCAGCAGCTTGGGAAGCACCAGTTACTGGGCGAACCAACCAGGACCGAAGATGGGACAGTGTCCCGGACAGCCATTGTGGACCACTGCTGGGCCATCAGGTATGTGGGATATTTATCAACCAGTTCTGTGGTGTGAAGGAGTTACATCTGAATCCTAGTATTCTGTGAGGTCAGAGGCAACTAGTAACACCAGTGTCTGGTGTCAGGGGCCACAGGAGTGTCTCGTGTCAGGGGCCACAGGAGTGTCTCGTGTCAGGGGCCACAGGAGTGTCTCGTGTCAGGGGCCACAGGAGTGTCTCGTGTCAGGGGCCACAGTAGTGTCTCGTGTCAGGGGCCACAGAAGTCTTATGCCAGGGCCTTATGAATTTTATGTTGGGATAAAGGAGGGTCTTGTGTCAGAGGCGACTAGAGAATCTTATGCTAGGGGGAAAGGAAGAGTTTTGGTAGGGGCCACAGGAGAGTCTTAGTGCTAGGGGTCACTGGAGAGTTATGCTTGGGGCCACAGGAGAGTTGTGCTAGAGCCCACAGGACAGTCTTAATGCTAGGAGTCATGGGAGAGTAATAGCTAAGTTTTAAGGGAGACACAACTGGCATTGTTAATTGCTGGCAGAAGCAAATGCCTATTTCTGGCTGGTTTATTATCACATCTTTCCACAAAATTTCCTACCATGTGTGTCATAGTGCCACTATTGACTGGGGAAAAGCTCTACCCAACTAGCAGAGTGTGAAGAGGCTGACACTCGATTTCACTGGTCACTTGTGGGAGGTGTGGCACTGCCACGGTGAAACTACTTACGTAAGTCACTCCATGCCAGTTAGCTCTAGATTTCAGCTTTATTTAACTTCTAAACTGTACATGAATAGTTTAAATGCTGCAGATTTATATAATGCAATGTATATTTGTAGGGAATTAAAAATTACAGTACCAGGTGTGGAACTGGTCACCAAAAATCCGCACATATAGGACCCTCATGACAACATTTTGTTCCGTTGTAAGTCACTGGTAAGTTGCAACAGTTGCGACTAAACAATGGTCGAGGATGAATCAAAGCATCGTGTGGTTCCTCTCCTAAGTGCTGGGTTTTGGAAAATAGTTATTTACGTTACTTTAATTAAAGGTAAAATGATAAAAATGCCGGTTATAAGAAAACAACAGCTGACACAGTGGTTATGCCCATTCATTGTGAATACTTACAATGCGACACAGGCTATAATATGGGTGAACTTTTTTACAATGCCACTTTTTCCATCTCCCACAGAGGTATACCTGGAGAGGGTTTCGGGAAGGGGGGGGGGCAGCATGCCTATGGCCCAGTCTGAGACCAAAAAAAGAAAAAGAGGAAATTCATTCACCTGTATTCATTTCAGTCAATCTTGCCAGAAGTGTGTTAACATCACAGTTCAAATAACCCTCAGAACTGCAACATTCTCACTCCTCCTTTGGAGTGCAGGCACTATACAATACGTACTTCTCAGTACAGTGGGTGTATGGGTGTACCGAGTCGTGTTTGATTATCTCAGATTAGCAATCACATACAGTACAGGAGGGCCTCACTTATACAGCAGATTAGTTTCCGGGTTACTACTCTAAGGTGAAAATCACTACGAAGTGAAACATAACCTGTATTTTTCACTTTCAAATATAAGAGCCTGATAACATGTTTGCACTATCATATACAGTGGACCCCCGGTTTACGATCAGCTCCCAATGCGACCAATTATGTAAGTGCATTTGTATGTGTATGTTTGGGGGTCTGAAATGGACTAATCTAATTCACAATATTCCTTATGGGAACAAATTCGGTCAGTACTGGCACCTGAACATACTTCTGGAATGAAATAATATCGTAAACCGGGGGTCCACTGTATTAAGTAATAGAGCTAGGACTAAAAAACGCATATACCTTAAAATATTTTCATCCTTAGCGTATAGTGAATGGTGAATATATTTATTATAGGAATGTGAATAAATGAAGAATGGTTATAATTGAAAACTGCTTCATTAGTGAAGGCCGTGCTGTACTAGCAAGCATAACACTTGTTGACGGACTGAGTACTGGAGGGAGGCTCACCGCTGTTGATACTAGAATGACATGATTGCAAACAAACCATACCCCGAGCGGGGAGAGAACCCGCGATCAGATCGCAGGTTCTATCCCTTCCCGTGGTATGGTTTGTTGATACCAGGCCTTGACATCCCTCCTTCAGAGGGGTATTGACATCCATTATGACATACATATTCTGAGCATTGAATCCAATCTTGTATCAAAGTGCTCCAACAAGGACAACTCTGTCTGGAGTCAACTTTTGGTGTTCCTCTAGCATTCAGTGACACGTACATCCCCACCATATCAAGGTGACTCCATTAACAAAAATTGGGAAGTTAGAAAATGTCTAGTAGAGATATGAAGCTTTCTTTATGAAGTTTGAACTACAATATTTAATTTATCTAAGCTTTTTCCAACTTATAGCTAAGCAGGAGATAAAGTATTTCATTTTGGCTTTATTTTTGTTTAATACCAATGTTTTCTCTTTTCAGCTTATAGCTAACAAAGCAGGAAGCAAAGAAGCCCTTGCTGAAGGCCCGTACATCGCAGCTAAGTTTCTGCACCGTAACATCCCATACTCCTTCTCCCTCGGTAACGGCCTTATATATGAGGGCTTCAAGAACAGACCGCTACAGAAAAAGAAGAGGTACGTACATTAATCTTACAAAATGTACAAAAAAAAAAATAAATTGCCAAGCAGTTTATTATAAAACTTGCTGATTGATAACAACAAGTGACTTAGAATGACTCATAAACTCTAGGACATATTGTGTTTACAGTAAGCTCTGATAAAGCTTTCCTGTTTTTGCAGTTTTAAAAAGTGCTTAAAAAACTGAATAGCTTTACTGTGAAGGCGTTTAGGTGCACCGAACAGCTTTAGGTGTACACTTTTTTAAGCAAATTTGCAAAGGCCTTTCCTGTGTATAAATATTTTAATGTACACTTTTTTAATTGCACTGCATAGTCGAGCTTTGTAAACAGCTGACTGTATTACTGGGATATCAGTAGCTACAGCAAACTCTCTTTAAAGGTCCTTCTATAGAGTGAAATTTTTTTGTGAGTATTAACATCTAAAGATGGTTGACATAAAGCCACTACCAGTTTAGTATGCTCTTTGCGTAGCGACAAATTTGTTTACCAATGTGGTCTTAGGAACAGAACCCCATCGTTAAGTGAGGAGAGACTGTAATTTTTGCACAATTTGAAGAGCTTGTGGAAATGGTAGCATTAATTAATTTCGCACTATTCGAACTGACACTAACGTACTCGTTATTCAGTTCTGAATGCACGTTTTCAGTAAGCTTTTAAAAATGATTGTTTTAGAGGCACTTTATAAGAGAGCTTTGCTGTGTGTCAGATGTAATGGTTGGAATTCCTTGAAGGTTGAGAAAACTTTGAGCTGGTATATAAAATAATTAAGTATTGTGTAGGAAGAGTAAGGCAATTTTTTTTAATTGCATTTGGCTGTGAGTTATAGATTTTTTTTTTTTATTACAGATACAAGATTTTTGTGAGGAGTGTAGTGGACACACCTGGCCAGGTAAGACTTGATTTGTTATTATTGCTAATGCATTTTTTGTTTTACCTTAGTGCCATCTCCTGCAAAGGCAGGGTAATGGAAAAGAGGAAACACACTTACCATCATTCATTCAGTAGTTATCTTAGCTGAAGTGTTATGACATCTCAATTCAGATTCCTCCCTGGCTGCAAAATCCTCACCCTTTTTTTGGAATGTGGACTATGCCTTTCCCACCTCAAGGACTCTAGTCTGGCTGATCAGTTTCCTTGAATTCCTTCATAAAAGTTTCCCTGCTCACACTCCAACAGCACGTCTGATAAAGGGCTACTTGTCTCTGTTCACTCCTCTCTAACATGCTCACACAAGCCTGCTGGATGCTCAAGCCCTTAACACTCAAAGCCTCTTTAACCCCCATATCCAACTGTTCCTGGGATAACTCCTACCCCTCCTACCTTCCACCCCAGATTTATACAACCTCTTCATCCCCTGTACATACCCAAACCCCATCAACATCCCCTCTGCAGCTCTCTGAATTATACCCCTGGCAACCCCACGTTGCCTTTTAACTTCTATGCTTTGAATTCTCTGCATGATATTCACACCACACATTGCCCTCAAACATGACATCTCCACCACTTCCAGCCTCCTCTCACTGTGGCATTAGATATACTTATTAACCCTTAAACTGTCCAAATGTAGATCTACATTCATGTGCGTAGCTCTCCGAACGTAGATCTACATTTTTTTACATTTGAAAGCATGTAAAATAAAACTTGGATGTATGTTCGGAGCGCTACGCACATGAACGTAGATCAGCGTTTGGTCAGTTTATGGGTTTAAGCTACTATATCAGTCGAAAAAATTCTTCAAGCAAGATTGGGTTGTAGAGATTACATTTATTACTTGCAGAAACGTTTCTTGATACTTATGATAACATTTTGGTGTGACTCGGACCATTAGCTTGTCACAGTGTGACGGGTTTTTAATAATTTCTCTCGACATGCATATCTGTCAGTTGCAAACTAGAGGAGAATTCAAAATCACTGTTACAGTGACAGGGATATGAAGTTTGAAAGTAAAATTGAAACTCTAATGCATGAGTTGATGTTACCATTGAGGTGCCACGAGGCTTTATACACATGTACTCTACAAGTATGGTTTTCAATTTTCAAAATTGTCCACAAGAAAAATTAGTAATGAAGGAAATCAGAAGTTAAAGCTAAATCCCACTCTGTCATAAATGTACGAGTCAGAAGCCTGTTAAATGTTTTGCACTCTGGTAGGATTGCTGGTTTTCTCTTTGTTACATAAACACACAAGATGACAGGTGAATACGAGACACTTCCACATTCATTCAACGTATCGTACGCTTTGCTGTGCGATTTTTTTTTATAATTTTATTTTTATGGTGTGTGTGTAATTTTAGGATATCAGGTCAGAGACCAGGCCTTTGGAATTCTCATCCCTGGAAACATGTAAACTACATTTTGAATTGATTCTGGGAAACTGGTTAGCCGGACTTGAGTCCTGGAGGTGGGAATTACAGTAGAAGGGGTGGGGGATATTTGGAATTTTGAACTGTAGTATTGGTACCCCTTTGGCAAGATAGTGATGGAGTGAGTGATGGTGAAAGTATTTTTTCTTCTTTGGGCAATCCTGCCTCAGTGGGAACAGCTGGTGTGTTTAAAAAAATATCTAAAAGAGTAATGCATAATTTTACGTAGATGATATTCTAAATGAAGTGTCAGAATTCCGTTTATATCTAATAGAATTGTTAATATAGATGTGTTTATAAATCTCCATGGGAAAGTGTAATAGAATTTCTTCCTCTGTAAGCCAATCTTGTCATAAGAGGCGACTAAAATTCCAGGAGCAAGGGGCTAGTAGCCCCTTCTCCTGTATACATTACTAAATTTTAAAAGAGAAACATTCGTATTTCTTTTTTAGGTCGTCCTTCCTCAGTGGAATATGGCTGATTTGTTGAAAAAATTTTTTATAAGATGCAACATTTTCCTAATGTTCGGCAAAATATTCTAATGTTTATTTCCTGCACAGCACCTGTACACATCATCGCCCTTCTCCGCTTATATCTCACTGGACATGCGTCCAGCGCCCTCGGGAGAATTGCCACGGCGGCCTAATCCATTCGAACCGACTAACCCTTCAGACGTTCATATTCAAGATAATGTAAATGATATGGAAATGTTGATGATTATTGGTCCTGTGATTGGGGCGGTGCTGCTTGTGGTCATCTCTCTCTTCTTGTTCCTCTTTGTGTGGAAGTAAGTGCTTACTTTTCTAGATTAAAATTGTGAGAATTTTTATATATTTTTCAATTACAAATTATTGATGAGTAAGACACTTGTCCGACATTTGTGGATGCTTATTGGTGAAATGTTTTGCCTGCTCATCAGGCTTCCGCAGTCGAATGCAAGTGACTGTAATTCTGGTAGAATTATCGACAATTTTAGGCAGATGGACACAGGTACAAGTACATTATTATTATTATAATCAAAAAGAAGCGCTAAGCCACAAGGACTATACAGGGGTACAAGTACAGCCTCTTCTCATTTACCGACGTATTAGAGCTGATTTCTGTTTATTAGAGTATACAGTAAACTACTTTAAAAACATTTTTTAAAATATACCAGAAATGTTATAAATGGTGGAAAGGTGACATTAAGACAATATCAAAGATGGTTGACACGAACCCACTACCGTTATAGTATGCTCCTCACTTAGCGACGAATTTGTTTACTGATGTGATATTAGGAATGGAACTCTGTTGTTAAGTGAGGAGAGGCTGTAATGTGATGTTTTATTGTGGCAACGTTTCACTCTCCAGAGCTTTGTCAAACTCTTACGGCTTGTCAAAGCTTCTAGAGAGCAAAACGTTGCCAAAATATAATGTTACATTACATTTGTGTCCATTTGATTATAATACTATAGACAATAGAAGTATACAGGAAGGCCCCGCATATACAGCACCTCTTTTCAGTGTTCCATGTTTTCGTTGTGTTTCAATTGAGGCATTGTTCCACCTGCTAGTGACAATCGTCAGAGGGTGGAACATAATGAACAATGGCTCATTTTAAAGCTAATGAAAATGTGGAACATCGAAAAGAGGTTGCTGTACAAGCATGGCCGTCCTGTATATAATTTTGAGATGATCAGTCCTTCAGACCCAAAACTAATACTGCTACTTAGTGATCATCATGTCAGTATGGCACACTGTCACTAATATTGTTAGAAATTATTAATGTGGGTTTAGAGTAGAAATATATGTTGTTAGGAATTAATAATTTAGGTTTAAAGTTGAAATCCTACGTGGGTAATCATAAAAAAAAATTTGAGCTTTGTCCATTAATTATTTCTTTTGAAAATCAATTCTTCAGGCGGCGACGACAACCGAAGTCACCAGACCAAGCCCAGGTAACAAAGCCATTAATGGCAGACCTTGGTGGTAGTCATGGTGGCGGAGGTATCGGAGGTGGAGTTGGCGGAGGCGTTGGGATCATTCCAGCTGCTCCCTCAGATCCTGTCGAGATGCGCCGACTCAATTTCCAGACCCCTGCCATGATCTCTCATCCTCCTATACCCATCTCTCAGCTAGCTGATCACATAGAGAGACTGAAAGCCAATGACAATCAGAAGTTTTCGCAGGAATATGAGGTACTGTATTGTGTCAGACATACACACCTGAACTTACACAAAAAAACCCACATTTACGAGAGCAATTATAGGATGTTTCAGCCTGTCTTGGACCGTTGTTATTAATAATAATAATATTTTATTTTGATATGGTACATGTTTATAGAAAGGAATATAATAGTTCGGTATATGTGTAAAAAGCCCCTTTATATGCAGAGCATTTCTGGTAAACTTAAATTAACTTACGATTAATAAGGCAATAACAGTACGTATGGTTATTAGACGAGTTACAATGAATACAAGAAAATTGAGTACAGTGGCCCCCCACTTTATGATCAGCTCCCAATGCGACTAATTATGTAAGTGCGTTTGTACGTGTATGTTTGGGGGTCTGCAATGGACTAATCTAATTCACAATATTCATTATGGGAACAAATTCGTTCAGTACTGGTACCTGAACATACTTCTGGAATGAAATAATATCGTAAACCGGGGGTCCACTGTATTTAATAAGTCTTGTAGAGAAGACGTACAATTGTGATTATTAACTTTAGTTCTTTATTTAGATTTTCTGACAGTGGTCCAAGACAGACTGAAGTGCGGTCGAAGGGTTCTTCTTCATAAATTCTCATTGAAATTTTCCAGCTGTGGTATTGTGATTTTTATGTTATTTTCCACCTTAACTTTGTGGTGCACCATTTATCTAAGCTTTCTCTAAAATAACTAGAATGTAAATTTACACAACGAAGACTGTGTTATCTCTAATTATTAAGTTTTCTCTGAAAATGTAAATTTACATCAGGAAGACTGTACCTCACTGATTTATGTACTGAAATTTCTTTTTATGAAGACAAAAAAGTTGCAAAAGAAACTTATATTGGCACAACATTTTATTCTGTGTAGAGTTTTATTATAACTCTATAAAGCCATAAATTTTCAAAAAACACTATTTTTTCCAAAAATTTGTGCACATAGAGCAGTAAAATATTTTTAATTTTCAAGTCTTTTTAGTTAATCGTGGCATTGAGCAGGAAAAACAAAAATTTAATGATTGTTTTAATTTCAGTCGATTGAACCTGGCCAACAATTTACTTGGGACAACAGTAATTTGGAAATCAATAAACCTAAGAATCGTTACGCTAATGTCATTGCCTACGACCATTCAAGAGTGGTCCTTAAGACATTAGAGGGCGTTTCTGGTAGTGATTACATCAATGCTAATTTCTGCGATGGATATCGTAAGCAAAATGCTTATATTGCCACTCAGGTAAGTGTCTTGGTTTCATGTTGATATAGATGCTATACCATATATATACAGGCGCTCCTCACCTTGTGATAGTTTGACTTATAATTTTTCGACTTTACAATGGTGCAAAGCAGTTACTTTGGAGCAAAGCAGTTACTTTGGAGCAAAGCAGGTACTTTGGAGCAAAGCAGTTACTTTGGAGCAAAGCAGTTACTTTGGAGCAAAGCAATTACTTTGGAGCAAAGCAGTTACTTTGGAGCAAAGCAATTACTTTGGAGCAAAGCAATTACTTTGGAGCAAAGCAATTACTTTGGAGCAAAGCAATTACTTTGGAGCAAAGCAGTTACTTTGGAGCAAAGCAGTTACTTTGGAGCAAAGCAATTACTTTGGAGCAAAGCAGTTACTTTGGAGCAAAGCAGTTACTTTGGAGCAAAGCAATTACTTTGGAGCAAAGCAATTACTTTGGAGCAAAGCAATTACTTTGGAGCAAAGCAATTACTTTGGAGCAAAGCAATTACTTTGGAGCAAAGCAGTTACTTTGGAGCAAAGCAGGTACTTTGGAGCAAAGCAGGTACTTTGGAGCAAAGCAGTTACTTTGGAGCAAAGCAATTACTTTGGAGCAAAGCAATTACTTTGGAGCAAAGCAGTTACTTTGGAGCAAAGCAGGTACTTTGGAGCAAAGCAATTACTTTGGAGCAAAGCAGTTACTTTGGAGCAAAGCAGGTACTTTGGAGCAAAGCAGGTACTTTGGAGCAAAGCAGTTACTTTGGAGCAAAGCAATTACTTTGGAGCAAAAAATTACTTTGCAGCATCTACAAAGTAATTTCTTTGCTCCAAAGTATGTAGATAAAACTTGAGATGAATACCCATCATGAAGGAAACAAGTCCCAAACTTGTATTCATTTACTTTTCAATGCTGGTATTTAGTTAATTACAGTAATTATTTGTTTATTTATTCGGTGACAGGAGTTGTTTATATACTTATTAATTTAGCACATCATATTCATATTCGACTTACGATATTTTTGACTTAGGACGGATTTGTCGGAACTTAACCCCATCGTAAGTTGAGGAGCTCCTGTATTTAAAAAGCAGAAAGATTGAAGAGTAATTACCGATTTGATGATTGAGACATTTGTGCAACACTTGGGTAAAGATACCCAAGTGGGAATGTTTGACTAACAAGTGGCCTCTTCAGTCCAGTGCAGAGACGTATGGTGGAGGATGAGGAGTAGTTCGAGGTAATTAGTCCCTCGTCCCTCAGTCTTGAGGGACTGATTACCTTATACTCCTTATCCTTTACCCTTCATGTCTGTACCAGACTGAGGAAGCCACTTGTTGGTGAAACATTTCCACAATAAAGATAGCCAAGTGTTTTAAATATAACTTGTCAGTTTTCCAAACCATTTGTCAACAATTAATGATTTGCAGCTATGTGAGTATGGTATCCTGTCCTTAGTAATTTTTTCATCATGTTACCTATTAGCTATTTGTTAGTATAATTGTTCTCACTAGTTGTTATAGTGTAGTTTTGTTCTCTGTTAATACTGAAATATCAGGGGGATACCTGTTCTAAATGTTCTTTCTGTTCTTCATATTTAGTTGCTTGTACATCATCATTTGTATGTCACACTTCGTTTCCTTTCTGTTTCTGTGCTGTTTTAGCTTGTTTCTGTACTCTATTTTAGTTCCTTTCAGTTTCTGTACTCTATTTTAGTTCCTTTCAGTTTCTGTACTCTGTTTTAGTTCCTTTCTGTTTCTGTACTCTGTTTTAGTTTGTGAGAAGTGAGCTTCAGCTTCTGGTCCCCTGTAAGGATGTTCCTTGATACTGGTGAGAGACTCTTACCTTTGAAGAGTTTCAAGAGTTTATCTACTCTCTGAGCTCGGCCATGGGCCAGGCTAGTGGAATTGGATTTGTGCTCCAATTCCCAGAATTAAGCATGAATGCCTTCCATCAATCCCCCACCCCCTACCCCAGGTGCTGTTTAATCTCTATGGGTTTAGCGCTCCCCCATGATGATGATAATTCAGCTCTTGGTTCCACTTGTAAACTTTCAATCAGCTGATGATTGATCCCTGTCATACTTAGTGTTCAACCTTTGGGTGGTGTTTGTTCCACTTTATTATAACTTATCTCGGTCCTTAAGAAATGTTTCCTAAAAGGAAAACACTGAACGGTTGGGGCTTGAACCTATGACAAGTGAGTTGTAAATCTCCAGGGGTTCAAATCACATCCATTCTGTGTTTTGTTTGCAATTGTGTTATTTTGATTTCTTGAGTCAAACTATTTCCTAGTGTCCATGTGGCTCATTTGAGTGTGTAGTTTGTGTCACCGGTAGTGAGTTTATCCTTGTCTATGCACTAAACTATTTTGTGATCATATTTTCTCTAACACTACACAAACATCCCACACATAGGAGAATGAAGCTTACGATGACATTTCGATCTGACTTGGACCATTGACTAGTCACGGTGTGAGTAATCAATGGACCAAGTTGGACTGAAATGTCGTAAGTTTCTCTTCCCTATGTGTGGGTTGTTTGTGCATTGTTCCAGTCATTGTATTGTTCCTAACATCTCTTCTTGTTCTTGTTGCATCACTGGCATGGGCAGATCTACTATGAAGCCAATGATGCTTAAGCTTCAGGGCCCCTAATCCTTGAGGGGCCCCAGAAGTGACTGTAGTCCACATTGCTTAAAAATTTTGGGTCTGCTGTATGAGAAGAGGCTCCCCCATAACAGTTCAAGCTTCAGGGGCCCCAAAAAATATAGGTTTGCCACTGATTGCTAGTGAGGGGCTTATTGTGTCAGGAGTGCTGGGGACCAGACCAGTGGTATTTAATTTACAAGTCCATAACTCTACCATCTTGATGACTCTGGATAAGTCAGTTCAATTCCCAGCTTTCCTAACAATTTGTTACTCTCACCATATAGACAGCTCTCTTATAAGGCCCCATTATATAGTGCAAGTTTTTGTAAATGGGACTGAATAGCAAGGTGGCCAAGTGGTTTATGCACTGGCCTGGAGTTTCAGGACTCATTTGCCTTGGGTTCAAACTTCACTCGTTCAGTGGTTTGGGACTGAATAGCATGTGGCAAGTTCAATTTTGGATAGACTTTTAAACTGCATTTGCCAAAAATTGCACTGGATAGAATAGTTTTATGTGAGAGCTTACTGGTAAAATGCTCATTTCTTAAATTGTATTTTTATTTTTTTTATTATCACACCGGCCGATTCCCACCAAGGCAGGGTGGCCCGAAAAAGAAAAACTTTCACCATCATTCACTCCATCACTGTCTTGCCAGAAGGGTGCTTTACACTACAGTTTTTAAACTGCAACATTAACACCCCTCCTTCAGAGTGCAGGCACTGTACTTCCCCTCTCCAGGACTCAAGTCCGGCCTGCCGGTTTCCCTGAATCCCTTCATAAATGTTACTTTGCTCACACTCCAACAGCACGTCAAGTATTAAAAACCATTTGTCCCCCATTCACTCCTATCAAACACGCTCACGCATGCCTGCTGGAAGTCCAAGCCCCTCGCACACAAAACCTCCTTTACCCCCTCCCTCCAACCTTCCTAGGCCGAACCCCTACCCACGCCTTCCTTCCACTACAGACTGATACACTCTTGAAGTCATTCTGTTTCGCTCCATTCTCTCTACATTCCGAACCACCTCAACAACCCTTCCTCAGCCCTCTGGACAACAGTTTTGGTAATCCCGCACCTCCTCCTAACTTCCAAACTACGAATTCTCTGCATTATATTCACACCACACATTGCCCTCAGACATGACATCTCCACTGCCTCCAGCCTTCTCCTCGCTGCAACATTCATCACCCACGCTTCACACCCATATAAGAGCGTTGGTAAAACTATACTCTCATACATTCCCCTCTTTGCCTCCAAGGACAAAGTTCTTTGTCTCCACAGACTCCTAAGTGCACCACTCACTCTTTTTCCCTCATCAATTCTATGATTCACCTCATCTTTCATAGACCCATCCGCTGACACGTCCACTCCCAAATATCTGAATACGTTCACCTCCTCCATACTCTCTCCCTCCAATCTGATATTCAATCTTTCATCACCTAATCTTTTTGTTATCCTCATAACCTTACTCTTTCCTGTATTCACCTTTAATTTTCTTCTTTTGCACACCCTACCATGTGTGTTTCTTAAAACAAAAACCATGGAACAGGGGATGTTTGAACTTGCCATGAGTTCATATGTCACCCATCCCGTGGTTTGTTTCCAATTGTGTTATTATGATTTTGTGATTATACCATGACTGTCTACCATACAGACTTCGTTGGGACTATATTCGATGCATTATCTTTCATGTTTTTTTCAGGGTCCTCTTCCTGAGACATTTGGAGACCTGTGGCGTATGCTGTGGGAGCAGCAATCTTGCACCATTGTGATGATGACTAAGCTAGAGGAGCGTACAAGGATCAAGTGTGACCAGTACTGGCCTGCCAGGGTGTCTGCCATGGAGACGTATGGAATCATGCATGTTACCCTCACTGACGTGCAGGAACTTGCCACGTACACTGTCAGGACCTTCCAGCTGCAGCGGGTAAAGCAAAATATTCCTATGGGTGTCTTAATATTGTTCTTGTTTTATATACCATAGCCATAATTCTGTTGTTTTGTATTCCATAGTCGTAATCCTGTTGTCCTTTACAGCATAGTCTTAATCTTGTCCTTTATACTATAGTGTTAATCTTGAGGAAGAAGATGCATGTGCAACAGTTGGGTATCTCTATTCTTGAAATGTTTCACCTGCATAGCAGCCTTCATCAGTCAAATACAAAGGAGAATGTGTTGTAGGCAGCAGTAATGGTAATCCGTCCCTCTCCTCTGGATCTGACTGATAATGCTTACTGTATAGGCAAAACTTTTGAAGAATATAAAACCAAACTCTGGCACATGTGTCTTTATCCTCAACTTGTTGGTGTTTTATACTATTTTCAACAGTCTGAATCTTGTATTGTCTGAATATTACTGGAGTCAGTTCCATGAGTCACTGCCTCTGTGACTTGGTCCCAGACCAGGCTTCCTGGTTGATGGCCTGATCACTAAGGTTGTTGGTGCTAGCTGCACACTGTTTAACATAGGTATAACAGCTTGGCTAATCAAGAGCTAACTTGAGAAATCTGTCAAATTCCTTCTTGAAGACAGCTAGGGGGTGTGTTGGTAATTCCCTTTCTTTGAAGGAAAGATGCTGAAAAGTCATGGTCCCTTTACATTTTTTAACACTGGCCATCTCCCACCAGGGCAGGGTGACCTAACAAGAAAAACAAAAGTTTTTCTTTTTAAATTTAGTCAGGAGAAGGGGTCATTAGCACCTTGCTTCTGGCATTTTAGTCGCCTGTTACGGAGGAAGAACTCTTCTCCGTTTTCCCATGAAGACTTCTCAGTTAATGATTTCTAGTGTACTCATTGCATCCCTACTTTTCATTTGGTGAATTCTCAATCTTCTGATGGGCTTCTTGTATTTTTAGAATAATTTGGGAGCATAACTAAATTTTTACAAGCAGTAAAGGCTCTCCATACATTCTGATCTCCAATTTCAGCAGCTTTCATTGAGACTGTTAGTGTACAACAATATTCCATCCTGGAGAAAACAAATGACTTAAAATGGACCATCATAGACTTGGCATCTCTTTTGAAGGTTTTTGTTATCCAGCCCATCATTTTCCTTGTGATAGTGACACTTGTGATTCCTGAATGTGAGATCTTGTGACATGATCACACTCGGCTGTTTATTCTAGGACCCCAATGGAAATAAGACAGGCAGTCCTTTGATGACGCACTGCCTTTCTTGGGTTATCCGGGGTTAAAAATCCGAATAAAATCTTTTCTTATCTCTTCTTATTCCATTCACTTGAGCGATTTGAATTTGTTTTATAAATTTTATTACATTTGAATGATCAGGTTTTTTATGATCATAATAATGGCAGATTCTGGATTTATTGGACTTTATCTATTAAATCCAAAAGCAGTGATGACAGACAATTCTGGTTTTAACAATCATTGTCCATTGTTTGTGGCCACAGATTTTTGTTAGTAAATCCAAAATCCATTTAATTGGGGATATGTTAAATTAAGAACCCTCATATTTAGTGTAATATCTTTAATTTAGTTTATTAACTCTTAAACATAGATCTACGTTCACATGCGTAGTGTTCCAAAAGTAGATCTACTTTTTTTACTATTTTCAGATATAACAAAACAAATGTAGATCAAAGTTTTTTTAATACTCTTTCAAATGTAAAAAAAAAAAAAATTAGGCTTTTTTACATACTTTCAAATGTTGAAAAAACGTAGATCTACTTTTGGACAGTTTAAGGGTTAATATTAAATTTAGTGAACTGAACTTTAAATGTATTTTCAGTCTGGTAGTTTGGATCGCCGTGAGATTCGACAGTTCCAGTTTACTGCCTGGCCTGACCACGGAGTTCCTGACCATCCCTCTCCATTCCTCATGTTCCTCCGACGTGTCCGCCACGTCAACCCTGCAGAGTCGGGCCCAATCATTGTCCATTGCAGGTACCGTGTGCACAGCAGATATTTTTTGTAACGTGAATTTTTGTTAATAGTTCTTGCAGGTTATAAATAACTGTATTGGAATTTGTGTTTCAGAGGAGGAGAGGGAATTTGGGTTCAAAATTCATATTTTTATATCTTGTACACAGGTGATGTAAATTAAAGAATAAAAAAGGCACAATACCATGACTGGAAGAGTACACAAATAATCTGCACAGAGGAAAAAGAAAATTATGATGCTGTTTTGGTCCAAGTTGGACCATTAACCCTTAAACTGTCCAAGCGTAGATCTACGTTGACGTGCATAGTGCTTCAAACGTAGCTCTACGTAGCGCTCCGAATGTAAGCCTACGTTTTTTTTTTTTACATGCTTTCAAATGGAGAAAATAAAGGTCGGAGTGCTACGCACGTGAACGTAGATCTACGTTTGGACAATTTAAGGGTTAACTAGTGACACATCTCCATGGGGAAGTGGAACAGAATTCTTCCTCTGTAAGCCATGCGTGTCGTAAGAGGCGACTAAAATGCCGGGAGCAAGGGTCTAGTAACCCCTTCTCCTGTATATATTACTAAATATAAAAGGAGAAACTTTATTTTTTTCTTTTGGGCCACCGTATCTCGGTGGGATATGGCTGGTATGTTGAAAGAAAGAAAGAAAACTAGTCACACAATATGACTAGTTAATGGTCCAAGTTTCTTTCTTCTGTGTGCGGATTATTCGTATATAATGTAGTTTCCGTGTAATAAAATAATATTAGTCACAGAAAGCCACTAGTATGCAGTGCATTTTGGGTAAACTTATCCTAATGCTTAAGACTACATACTTAAGAACTAGACAGAGTACATGTACTCCTCACTTAACGACCACTCAGATTTTCTACCAGCTCTCCGACCAGTGTACTGTATGTGTATATTACTTTTTCATTTTTTAAATGCATTCAGGGAAACTGGCAGGCTGGACTTGAGTCCTGGAGATGGGAAGTACAGTGTCTGCACTCTGAAGGAGGGGTGTTAATGTTGCAGTTTAAAAACTGTGGTGTAAAGCACACCTCTGGCAAGACAGTGATGGAGTGAATGATGTGAAAGTTTTTCTCTTTTGGGCCACCCTGCCTTGGTGGGAAGCAGCCTATGTGTTAATAATAAAAAAAGTTCTTTTTTTATTTTTTAACACATCGGCCGCTTCCCACCAAAGCAGGGTGGCCCAAAAACGAAAAAGTTCTATCATCATTCACTCCAACACTGTCTTGCCAGAGGCATGCTTACACTACAGTTATAAAACTACAGCATTAACACCCCTCCTTCAGAGTGCCGGCACTGTACTGTACTTTCCATCTCCAGGAATCAAGTTCGGTCTGCCAGTTTCCCTGAATCCCTTCATAAATATTACCTTGCTTACACTCCAACAGCACATCAAATCTTAAAAAACATTTGTTCCTATCTAACATGCTTACGCACACTTGCTGGAAGTCCAAGCCCCTCGCACACAAAACCTCCTTTACTCCCTTCCTCCTTCAGCTTAGTTTCGCTTAGGGCTAGAACATCCAACTTGTTTTAATCATTTCTTTTTTATCATCCACGTACATTCAAACATCCAAATTTTATAAAAAATGTTATAAATGGTCCAGAGGTGACATTAAAACAATATCTAAAAGATGGTTGACACGAACCCACTACCAGTACAGTTTGCTTGAAATATCAGTGTAAGGGGCGGCTCCTCACTTAACGACCTACTCTTAGGAATGTCAGTAGGTCGTTAAATGAGGAGTACCTGTATTAGTAGGATTTTCTAAATGTACTTCTAGTAAAATACCAGTGAAAAATTCACAGTACAGGAAAACTTGAGTACTTTGGTGTTTGTACACTCAATGTCATCAGAGTGACTGTGTCTTACTATACAGTGGTCTGTGTTGTCGATGTTGGGTGTATAAGGGCCACTGTGAGCATACACCGTCCATAATGGTGGTGAAGCAGCAGCTGAGGCGGTGGTGTTTTCTGTAGCCCTATATAACTCCAACAACATTGGAGGAGTTAGCAGAATCACTGAAGAAGACACTCTCTACCACCTTCTACCATTATTACAACTGCTACCACCACCTTCTACCATTATTACAACTGCTACCACCACCTTCTACCATTATTACAATGGTACCACCTTCTACCACTATTACAACTGCTACCACCCTCTTCGTATTTTTCTACAAACTTGTTCTTAAATTATATGTGCTTCTCACATTCTTTACCAAAGGACTGGCACTAGGAGCTTTCTTTGGAGCCATGGTGACTTATTTAGCAGTTGGAAACACTAAAACGAATGGAATATTATGAAATGTATTATATGAACTCGTGGGATCATCCTCACTCACTGATAAACAATGGCACACTGGCTGGGAATGGAGTGTGAGGTGGCTCGGGGCTGTGTGTACACGTCCCAGACGAACGACTATTCACGAGCCAATGTTTTGACGAAAATAACCTTACGATTTTCGAAAATTACGACTATTGAGCCTTACAATTATCGAGGGACCACTGTATATGTATTGTTTCACTGGCATTGTATATGTCAGGTACTTCATAAAAATGCCACATCAATATGATCTAATTATGTTTTTGAGTACTGATTGATTCAGGAAGCCATAATAAGACAATTGCAAACAAACCAGGGAACACGCTAGTGGTCACAGTGATGACCCATGGTAACCTCCCTATGATGTATAAATATACTTAGTTGGATTAATCTTATTGTAGCCAGCTGGTCCAGTGGTTTACGCACTGAAAATTGTTCCTTAGGCTTTATTTATTAGCATTAATGCTTAAAACTCACAAAGAGAAATATACATGGCTATTTTATTAATAAAGGGAAACTTGCAGTTTCCGGATGGAAACTCAGAGATGTATATAAAATTAGTTTTTCTTGTGTGCAAGTTTTCTTAAAGTAATTAAGAGTAAATAAATTAACCCTTAAACTGTCCAAATGTAGATCTACATTCACGTGCGTAGCGTTCCGAACGTAGATGTAATTTTTTTTTTTACATGCTTTCGAATGGCGAAAATTAAGGTCAGGGCGCTACGCACGTGAACGTTGATCTACGTTTGGACAGTTTAAGGGTTAAGAAAACAAAGCATGGAAGAAAATGAAAAATGAAGGAACTTTGAGTTATTGGGTTGGGCTTAAAATTCTAAATGTTTGTATTTTACAGTGCCGGTGTGGGTAGAACAGGAGCCTTCATTGTCATTGATGCCATGTTGGAGAGAATCAAGCACGAACATACTGTCGACATATACGGACACGTCACCTGTCTGCGAGCCCAAAGGAATTACATGGTGGGATCCCACGTACAGCAGTACCCTGCTACGAGATATTACTTTAACCCTTAAACTGTCCAAACGTAGATCTATGTTCATGTGTGTAGCGCTCAAAACGTAGTCCTACGTTATTTTTTATATACTTTCAAATGGAGAAAATAAAGGTCCGAGCGCTATGCACGTGAACGTAGATCTGCGTTTGGACAGTTTAAGGGTTAATTAGTATTGAACTCTGAGTTAGGAGTTAAGCACAATAAACTCTCTTGTAAAAATCATACAGTGCAATTTTGTGTAAATGTGAATACAAATTGTAACGTTGTATAGTATGAATGTGTTTCTGCATATAGATGAGGTTAATAAGATAGTCTAAGGTACTGTATATGAATTAGAAATATTTGAAAGTTTTCTAAAACTTTAGCTATTAGTAGATTGTCATGATGGTAGTTGTTAGTGAATTATCTTACATTACCTGACCTCACTTTAATGTTGGTTGATGGCTCACCTCATATACACTTTGTGACGCCTCAGCCTGAACCTTACCAAGCACCTGACTTCCTTGGTTCTCATCACTGTGTATATGTTGAGACAAAGATCCCTATCCATGGAATATACCAGAGTATAGCTGTACCAACACTGTTATATGGGTGTGAAACATGGGGCTTAAATGTCACATTAAGGAAATTGGAGGCAGTAGAGAAATCATGTTTGAAGGCAATGTGTGGTGTGAATATTGTGCTGAGAATTTGGAGTGTGGAGTTACCAAAAGGAGGGGTTCTTGAGGTGGTTTGGGCAGCTAGAGAAGAATAGGATAAGTATATTTGTGGTAGAGGGAAAGAGGGGGTAGGGATCGTTAGTAGGGAGGTTTCGAGTGCTAGGGCCTTGGACATCAAGCAGGCTTGCATGAGTGTGTTCGAAGTAATTGGAGGGAAGGGCCTTTTTTTTTTTTTTTTTTAATGATTTGATATTCTGTTGGAGTGTGAGCATGGTAATATTTGTGAATGGATTCAGGGAAACAGGTTAACTAGACTCGTGTCCTAAAGATGGGAAGTACAGTGCCCGCACTCTGGAGGAGGAGAGGAGATGTTTCAATTGAGAGGTTCATGTGAGTTGTGATGTCAGCACAGATGTTTCAATTGAGAGGTTCATGTGAGTTGTGATGTCAGCACAGATGTTTCAATTGAGAGGTTCATGTGAGTTGTGATGTCAGCACAGATGTTTCAATTGAGAGGTTCATGTGAGTTGTGATGTCAGCACAGATGTTTCAATTGAGAGGTTCATGTGAGTTGTGATGTCAGCACAGATGTTTCAATTGAGAGGTTCATGTGAGTTGTGATGTCAGCACAGATGTTTCAATTGAGAGGTTCATGTGAGTTGTGATGTCAGCACAGATGTTTCAATTGAGAGGTTCATGTGAGTTGTGATGTCAGCACAGATGTTTCAATTGAGAGGTTCATGTGAGTTGTGATGTCAGCACAGATGTTTCAATTGAGAGGTTCATGTGAGTTGTGATGTCAGCACAGATGTTTCAATTGAGAGGTTCATGTGAGTTGTGATGTCAGCACACCTCTGGCAAGAGAGCGATAAGTGACTGATTGCGAAGGTTTGTCTTCTCTTTCCAAACACTCACATTGATAGTGAGTGGCTATCCTGTTAAATAATAATTGTGATATTGTGGATGAAAAAGTCTCGCGTAGATGAAACATTGAAGATAGTAAAGATCTCCTTTTCCTGTATGTGTATTTTTACTACTTTTGGGCTCAGTCATACTTCAATTACTGGTACTTAACAATTCATCAATTTACAGGTTCAAACAGAAGACCAGTACATCTTTATCCATGATGCCTTGCTTGAAGCTGTTATGGCGGGTAACTCTGAGGTACCAGCACGTAATCTCCACTCCCACATTCAGGAGTTGATGGCTGTTGAACCAGGAGAGAATGTCACTGGCATGGAGCTGGAATTCAAGGTAATATCCTGTTGTTAACAGGGTACAGCATAAGCCATACACCATGAAGAGTAAACTGTAAATTGTTTAAAATGCTTTTCATGCAGTGATATTGATGTAACACCTATCATTTACATTTACGTACTAAGTTTTATTGTGACAAAAATCAGAGTGACACTGGATATTAGAAAGAAGAGCTAGAGCATACATGGAGGGAGTTCCAGGGGTCAGTGCCCCTGTGGGCTGGTCCATGACCAGGCCTTACGGTGGATCAGAACCTGATCAAGTAGGCTGTTACTGCTGGCTGCATGCAAACCGATATATGAACCACAGCTGAGATGGTTAGGTACCAAAAGTATAATTAAGAGGAGTTGTTGAAGTGGTTTGGACATTTAGAGAGGGTGGAGAAAATAAGATGAGAGGAAGGATGTATAAATGTGTGGTGGAGGGAAGAGGTCATCCCAAGAAAGGTTGGATGGAGCAGGTAAAGGAGGTTCTGAGTACTTGGAGCGAGTGGAGGCAAGTATTTTTTATGACTTGACGTGCTGTTGGTAACATGTATTAAGGGATTCAGAGAAAACTGGTCAACAGTTGTGGAGGTGGAAAGTACAGTGCCTGCACTCTGCAGGACGGGTGGAGTTATTGCAGTTCAGAGGGTCATTTAAACTGTCATGTCCACACACTTTTGACAAGACAGCTTTTAAATGAATAATGATAAATGAATTTCCTTCATTGAGGTCACCCCGCCTTGGTGGGAAATAACCGATATGGAAAAAGAATGGACCTGTTATAGCAAGTGTTGGAATAACCAGATATTTTAGATGTTGCAGTAACCCACAATTTTTGAAAGTTGGTGTCTGTATTTTTTATAATTTCTTTATATCAACAGTGATATATCAGTGAATGGATGGGGTTTGAAGCCATGGCAAGTGAGTTTTAAAAGTTGCAGGCCAGTGCGTTAACCACTGGGCCAGCTGGCAATAATAACCAAAGTCCTTGAGCTAGTAGTGGTTTTATATTCTGACAAGCATATTAACAAGACACTATTTGGAGTTTATGGCATTTTATTGAGAAGACGTTTTTCCCACTAAGTTTTTTTGGATGAAATGTCTTGTCATAAAAATGGCATGGACGGCATGTTGTTTTAATAACACGTTGATAATTTCTGTTTAGAAACATTAATATTGGTTGTCATGGAGGAGGGGAAGGTTGTCAACACATTATATTACCTGTGACTGGTTTTGAGTTTTTTTTAACCATCACAGCCAAGACTAATGCCAAATTTCATTTTTGAATTCATGACCAAGCAGGCTGTTACTGCCAGTAACCCACAAGCCTTGTCACAACTTGAATAATCTGGCTTTGAACTTAGCGTAGCATCATGACCTAGGGATGTTGTATAATTTAGAAGTACAGTGGACCCCCGGTTAACGATATTTTTTCACTCCAGAAGTATGTTCAGGTGCCAGTACTGACCGAATTTGTTCCCATAAGGAATATTGTGAAGTAGATTAGTCCATTTCAGACCCCCAAACATACACGTACAAACGCACTTACATAAATACACTTACATAATTGGTCGCATTCGGAGGTGATCGTTATGCGGGGGTCCACTGTAATTTGTTCAGAATCAAAAATTTATTTCTTTTCGAAGTATACAATGCGAAGTTCATATGTACTAAAATATTGTCAGAGACAAAGAAAGCCACTAACATGATGAGCATTTCAGGTTGTTCAATTTTTATTCTACCATTAAACCTGTAGTCCAGTCGAACAGTGTAATATATAAATTTTTTTTTTCCCCCCCTCATAGCGTTTGGCAAACATCAAAGCACAACCATCAAGGTTTGTCAGTGCTAATCTTCCAGTTAACAAGTTCAAGAACAGATTAGTGAATATATTGCCTTTCGAAGGCAGTCGTGTGTGCTTGCAACCTCTTCGTGGTACTGAAGGATCTGACTACATCAATGCCAGTTTTATTGATGGATACAGGTAATGTTTCATTTAATACTCTATTATTGTCAGTAATATAATTAATGAGTGGTATGGCTTTGCAGAAACCAGGAGTAAAGCTTAAATTTAAATTCCAAAATTTATTTCTTTACATGGTATACAATATTTAGCAAACTGTACATGAGCATTTCTGCCAGAAATGCTTGTGTATGTTTTTGGTTTTCTTGCCAGAAACGTGCTTGCGTATATTTGGTAGACTATTATTAACCCTTAAACTTTCCAAAATGTAGATCTACGTTTGCACGCGTAGCGCTCCGACTTTGATTTTCCCCTTAAGAAAGAATGTAGATTTACGTTTGGAGTGGTATGCAAGCGAACATAGATCTACATTTGGACAGTTTAAGGGTTAATGCTTACACACTAGACGTAGGTTTTGGGGAAGTGGATTATTTTCCATGATTATATCAATAACGAACAATTCTTTAGCCAGTGGACTTTCTTTGTTATTTCTGAATCAGTTGACAGTGGATTTTGTCTCATATTTCTGAAGTTTATTAAGTCAAGAGAGTGCTAGATATTTGATTTTGGGTCTTGACAGAAACAAGGACATTTAGATAGAACAACAATTTTTTTTATCTGAATATGAAAAAAAAATTCATCTTTGTCACCTGTCATCTTAAAATGATTTTATATAACACACAGGTACCGCTCTGCATACATTGCAACCCAGGGTCCACTTCAGGAAACCGTCGATGACTTTTGGCGAATGTTGTGGGAGCACAACTCTACCATTGTGGTCATGCTCACTAAACTCAAGGAAATGGGCAGGGTAAGATAGTCACTCTACTGTTATTATAATCTTCAATTTTTTTTTAATACATCAGCCATTTCCCACCAAGGCAGGGTGGCCCAAAAAAGAAAAACTTTTACCATCATTTACTCCATCACTGTCTTACCAGAGTTGCACTTACACAACCGCAACATTAACACCCCTCCTTCAGAGTGCAGGCACTGTACTTCCCATCTCCAGGACTCAAGTCTGCCTGCCGGTTTCCCTTCATAAATGCATTACCTTGGTCACGCTCCAAGTTCTAAAAAGCATTTGTCTCCATTCACTCGTATCTAACATTGAAGAGTAATCTGACTTGTTATGTTAACATGATTCTGGTAAGACAGTGATTGAAGGAATGATGATGAATGCATTTTTCTTTTCATCACCTTGACTTTGTTTATGATGGCTGTTGATGTAATGAAAAAAATTGTATAGAAAAGGTGCTAAGCTGGTAGTGGTTGTACAGAACCTGCGACAACAAGAAGTACTGTGGTTTGATCTGAGGAAGGGAAGGTCAGGTTCAATAATCCATCACTGGCATCAAAGAACCTTCTGCGAGGGTTTATATAACGTTCTAAAAATGGAAAGAGAATTGTTGCTGGGACAATATAGTGTTTATAAGTTGTACCACGTACTTGTATAAGTAAAAATTATTATTATACCCAAGTTTTTTCAGTTATACACATGAGAAAAGTCGCTTTAGCAAAATGATACATATGACCATGATTTTTTGACGATACGTATAACTGTTATATGATGGTACAAATGACTTGTCTGATGATACATAGCTGCAATATTATCTGATGGTGCATAATTTAATAATTATGTATCACCAGACAATATTTTAGTCATATGACGACTAATGATATATAATTTCTGTAATATGACTTGCCTAATGATACATAAGTACTGTAATACATGTATGACTGTTCTGATACACACCCGGACTATAATATGACTTGTCCGATGATATGGAAATTAATGTATACTCTGGTATTGCAGGAGAAGTGCTACCAGTACTGGCCCAACGAACGGTCACAGCGGTACCAGTTTTATGTGGTCGACCCTATAGCAGAGTACAATATGCCTCAATACATTCTCAGGGAGTTTAAGGTGATTAACCTTGTGTTTCTTGCCAGCATTCTCCGTCACTTTAGTCTAGTAGTTGCTAGTCTGTAATCGTCACTGTAGTCTCTAATAGTTCATATAGTTACGTAGATGCTAATCACTATAGTTCAACACTTGTTAGAATAATTATGGTCTTATGTGAGCTAATTTATATACATTGGTGTCAAAATTTTAAACATTTTGGAAATCAAATTGGATTTTTCTCAATTTTGTTTTTTTTAACAAATTTGAAATGGTAATTTGGAAAAATCCTTATTATTTAGAATGTTCAAATATAAATTTTCTGATTATTCACATCAAATGCAAATTAGAATTACTGAATTTATTAAAGTTTGGTATTTTCTCTTGGGGAAAATTAAGAATTTTGAAAAATATACAAATTTTGGATTACGTCGAAAGTTGTCATTTGAATATCCAAATTTAAGTGATTTTTTATTCATAATTTTTGCTGTTATTGTGAATGTAAAGAATTTTTAATATTTCCATTTTGATTGTTTTTTTTATGAAGTCAGAATATTATGTATATTGTAGTTTATACTGTGTAATTTTGTAATGCCCAATAATGTCTTAATACACAGATAACTGATGCCAGGGATGGTCAGTCTCGCACCATACGTCAGTTCCAATTTATCGAGTGGCCTGAACAGGTATGATTTAATAGGGTTCGTATGAACCTGTTCTGGGTATGATTTAATAGGGTTCGTATGAACCTGTTCTGGGTATGATTTAATAGGGTTTGTATGACCCTTTTCTGGGTATGATTTAATAGGGTTCGTATGAACCTGTTCTGTTTGAATTTTGATGTGTTTTTCTTGAGTTTCAATTTAGGTAATGTATTGGGAATGATTTAACAACCCAGTGGAGTTATTACATTAGGAGCCGAGTCATTTGTAGAATACAGTCACAGTACTATGACTGGAGAATACGCAAACAACCCGCACACAGAGAAAGAAACTTATGGTTTCTTCCATATGCGGGTTGTTTGTGTGTAGATATAAGGGGCTAGTAACCCCTTTTGTATAAATTACTAAGTTGAAAAATATAAATTTGTGTTTTTCTTTTTAGGTCACCTTGCCTTGGTGGGATGCGGCTGGTTTGTTGAAAAAAAAAAAAATAAGTGCTACATTGCCTTAGCATGTTATGAAAATATAAGGTCATATTGATTATTATAATTATGGGTAAGAGCTAAACCTGTAGGGGTTTTACAGCACTGGGGAATGGGAAGTAAACACATTTTTATCCAGAGAAGGGAAGTATAAGTTTTATTTTTCAATTGAAGAGCTCCTTATCTGTATGAAGATTTGAGACACTTATGCAACACATGGGAATGTTTATTGAAGAAACGTTTTGCCACACAGTGGCTTCATCAGTCCAATACAAAGTAGAAATGGGTAAGGAGAGGAGAAGTTTGAGGTAATTAGTCCCTCAGCCTGGAATTGATGTGTTCAGTCCATCAATCTTGTAGGAAGTACAGCATAGGGGCAGAGAAGTGGCTTATATACTGCCCTGAACACATCGATTCCAGGTTGAGGGACTGATTACCTCAAACTTCTCTTCTCCTTACCCATTTCTACTTTGTATTGGACTGATGAAGCCACTGTGTGGCGAAACGTTTCTTCAATGAAGATTCCCATGTGTTGCGTAAGTGTCTCAAATCTTCAACTTGTCGGTTTTCAAAACCATTCCTCACCTGTGTGAAGACAACTCTTCTGGTCCTTGGAAGGGAAGGTCATGTCTAGCATCGATTATTATTTTATTTGAACATAGTGGTTGTCTCCCACCGAGGCATTCCAACCTGAAAAAGAAGAAATACTTCTTTTTACATTAATGTATACAGAAGAAGGGGTTATTAGCATCTTGTTCCCAGCGTCCTAGTCGCCTCTTACGACACGCATGGGTTACGGACGAAGAATCCTTTTTTCACATTGATCTCTTTATATTATTTGTACCTCCTGTCACTTTATGAATTTTCTGGAAATCTTGAGGACCTCAATAGGATAAATGAGGATAGGTTTTTCTCCAGATAAAATAAAAGCAAGAGGGTATGTCTGAAAATTACTCTAGACATGCAGTTATGACGCAGAACAAAACAAGATTGGTAGGGAAGTGGCATAGTGGAAATAGACAACATAGAAGGTGGCCCGGTGGCTAAAGCTCCCGCTTCACACACGGAGGGCCCGGGTTCGATTCCCGGCGGGTGGAAACATTTCGACACGTTTCCTTACACCTGTTGTCCTGTTCACCTAGCAGCAAATAGGTACCTGGGTGTTAGTCGACTGGTGTGGGTTGCATCCTGGGGGACAAGATTAAGGACCCCAATGGAAATAAGTTAGACAGTCCTCGATGACGCACTGACTTTCTTGGGTTATCCTGGGTGGCTAACCCTCCGGGGTTAAACATCCGAACGAAATCTTATCTTATCTCTTAAGGATTTATTAATACAACAGTTTAATTACAGTATTGTTAATGGTTATACAACATTGCAGGGTGTTCCAAAATCTGGAGAAGGCTTCATTGATTTCATTGGTCAGGTGCACAAGACGAAAGAACAGTTTGGGCAAGATGGTCCCATTACTGTCCATTGCAGGTAAGATTTGTAATAGATTATTATATTGATGAAGATGCCAAGTGATTTTCATTTTTTAGTGCATCGTGGATAGTAGTGCATATAAGAATGACTCCCCATCACCATAGCATTTTTTGGTTGTAAGAGTGCCAGTCCTTCTCTCTCTCTAGTGCAGTGATAGAGGGATGGACTGGCAGACTGTCGATTTGAAACTGTATAGCCTTAATACAAGAGAGTTGCATATTTTGATTAGTGGTACCTCGAATAGTTCCCAACTCAAACAGTTATGAAAGTGCATTTTTGGGGAGTCTGAAACGCACTTGTTTCTTTACCAAAGATTGAATCCTTGGATTATTTTTATAATTTCTTTATTCATATAAAAGTTATACTACAACACCTTAAGCGTGGAAAATTAATACACATTTTTTTTGCCATAGTGCGGGTGTTGGTCGCACTGGGGTGTTCATTACCCTGAGTCAGGTTCTGGAGCGCATGCAGTACGAAGGTGTCGTTGACATGTTCCAGACTGTCCGTAATCTACGTACCCAGCGTCCTGCTATGGTGCAGACAGAGGTAAGAAATGCTGTATTTGTAATATACTGTTACTGCTCGTCATACATAGGTTTACATGTGGCCAGCAGTAACAGCCTGGTTGATCAGACCCTGAGTCTTGAAACCCTCTCCAGGCATACTGGTGATTTGAAACTGTAGAGGTTTAATAGAAAAAAGTTGCATAATTTGATTAGTGGTACTTTGAACAATTATATAAGTGCATTTTTGGGGGTCTGACACGGGCTAATCTAATTTACATTATTCCTCTTTGAAAAGAATTCGTTCGGTTACGACACTTGAGCAGCTTTCTGGAACGAATTAAGGCCGATATTTGGGGTACCAAGTTGTCTACATAACTAATTATACAATATATGTGTGTTCACACCATCAGTGTGCACTTGGAACGAATTTCTACTAGTGTTGATACAAATATCGCAAATGAGCAATAAAAGATGCAAAATAACCACGGGGTAAGTTGAATGATAGCTGTAGGCCTTTGATGTTTTAATCAGCACATAATCAGAAGCTTGCAGTACTGCAAGAAAATCCATTCAGATTAATGATTTTCTCTAGAAAGTAGTGAACCAAAGGCACAAGTTGAATTTAAAGGTTTATCATGTAATAATGAAGCTCTATACAGAGCCAGTCATTGTCCCAATAAAACCTCTCTTCTTTTTTGACACTACTACCACCACTGTATCAGTGTGTAGTGGAAGGAAGGCGGGGTTGGGGGTCGGCCTTGGAAAGGTTGGAGGGAGGGGGTAAAGGAGGTTTTGTGTGCGAGGGGCTTGGACTTTCAGCAGGCATGCGTGAGCGTGTTTGATAGGAGTGAATGGAGACAAATGGTTTTTAATACTTGACGTGCTGTTGGAGTGTGAGCAAAGTAACATTTGTGAAGGGGTTCAGGGAAACCGGCAGGCCGGACTTGAGTCCTGGAGATGGGAAGTAGAGTGCCTGCACTCTGAAGGAGGGGTGTTAATGTTGCAGTTTAAAAACTGTAGTGTAAAGCACCCTTTTGGCAAGACAGTGATGGAGTGAATGATGGTGAAAGTTTTTCTTTTTCGGGCCACCCTGTCTTGGTGGGAATCGGCCAGTGTGTTAATAATAATAAAAATAATACCACGATTGTGATATTTTTTTAATAGGTGCAGTGATAATAAAACAAAATTATAAATTGATATTGAATTTTTGAGCCCAAAAGGAAAAACGAAAATTTCTCCTTTTATATTTAGTAATATATACAGGAGAAGGGGTTACTAGCCCCTTGCTCCCGGCATTTTAGTCGCTTCTTACAACACGCATGACTTACGGTGGAAGAATTCTGTTCCACTACCCCATGGAGATAAGAGGAAATAAACAAGAACAAGTAAGAAAATCCAGAGAGGTGTGTGTGTATATATATATATATGTGTAGTGTGACCTAAGTTGAAGTAGCAAGACATACCTGAAATCTTGCATGTTTATGAGACGAAAAAAAGGACACCAACAATCCTACCATCATGCAAAACAATTACAGGCTTTCATTTTACATTCACTTGGCAGGATCGGTAGTATCTCCCTGGGTGGTTCCTGTCTACCAACCTCCTACCTTAGTGAAAGTTCATATTTGTGCAAAAAAAAAATATGATCTGATTAACTGAAGTTAGAAACACTTGGAAATTTATTCATTGGTGGAAGAAAAATACCTGTTGCAGCAGGCACAGTGTACAGATCATGTTTGACTTGTGTTAAAATTTTATAATTAGTATTGCAATTTCACTGATATTTCCTATAAGAATGTTTTGTTTCACTTTAATACTCTGTCTAAGGATATGACTTTCCCTTTCAGGAGGAGTACAGGTTCTGTTACTTAGCAGCCCTGGAGTACCTGGACAGTTTTGATCACTTCGTGGACTGACTAACGAGGCCTGCTGGATCCCGCCCGCTGTCCATATGGACCTGAGAGACATGTTGGGCTAGCTCAGGTGCTGCGGGAAAGTGTTAAAAATACCCAGACAGTGGAGGTATACTATGATAGAAAGTAACGCTTGTCTACGTCTTAAGCAGGTGCTCGGAAGGTCAATCCACCTGATTGGTTGACATCGAGTGCAAGGCTCATGTTTCGAGAGAGTTATCAAGCCTTGAGTTAGCACTGCAGAGACTCCGTGGAAGGCTTACATTCAGCATGTGCAATAAATTGATATTTAAGAGTTGAAATCAAAAATATGTTGAAAACTGCACCTGTCAGCAAAGTAGTCTCGTGCAAGCTAAACGTGAAAGATGATAGAAAATACATGTCTGTGAATGCCACATAAGTAAGCTCTTTACAGTAATACTGTAAGCAAAACCAAGCTGCCTTCCATAAATATAACTATCCTACGTTACAAGAAAAATAGAAATGCTTTGTAACATAACATTTAGTAGAGTGGTTGAACACTGGCAAGTCAGTAACAATCTCACAGATGTTTAAGTTTGCCATGCAAGGATTGTGACCAAGAATGCAGCCATAATTGCCTTTTTACCTGGGGACGGATAATAATCTCTTGCGAGACCTCACCATTAGGAAAATAGCACAAAAATTTCTGGAATAGACAGTGGTGATAATATTAGTGATCTCAAAATTATTTCATGTGGTGCTATTGGGTGTGCTGACAACTCCCCCCTCAAATGTGCCAAGCTATGGGCATGCACATCAACTTGGTTTGTACTATGAAATGTATTCATGTTAGGGAATAATAGTCTTGATATACTTCTTGCTTGTTCAGTGACGAATTTGTGATCACCGGGTAACTGAACACAAGCCTATGATGCAGAAACTGGTAATGCTGTTTGTCGTCTTAAAGGAAAGTACGACTGTTATGTGCTCTCAAACTTCCTGCGGAAGATGCATAAATGGAACATCATAAGTGCTTTCACAAACTTTAGTTTTAAGTTAAAAGGATGTCTACACACAAAGTGCATATAGAATATATCCATGTATATAAGGATATCCCGTGAATTCTTTGACTCGTTACTGATCAGAGAAGTGAGAAAAAAATGCTTTTATAGTTTTGATTCTGCCATTCCATTCATGAATGTGAAGTTTTTATTCATTTAAGTATGAATCTCTGGTAATGCATGAATTTTGAGAGATGTATGCTCTTGAGTTATTAAAAGTGACTACTAAGGAAAAAATATTTTGCTGGTAATAGGACATTAAGAAGGTAATTTGTAATGCAATTAAACTTTTCTTAATGTGAGATTACTCTTGCCTTGTTACCATGGTGTAAAAGGTCACTTACTGGTCCAAGCTGATTAACCTGTTTATATTAAGTCGATCTGCGTTCAACCTAATTTTAGATATCTGCTGCACAAGTCTACATACTTTGCAATTTTGGTTAGTATTTATTTTTTAAGCATTTTATATAAAAATAGTGTCTAATTATTTAAAAAAAAAAAAAATGAATAATTTGACCTTCATATGTCACCATTCCCTTTAGTGTTCACTTGTACTATTCTGTACAAAATGTGTGAGAGTGAGTGAGCAGGTGGGCCAAGTTTGATACAGCAATACAAGATTAGAAGCATTTTTGCAACATGGTTCAAATCCATTAGCCAGGTTCCTATTTTCTTGGAGACCATTTATATCCAGCAAATTAAAAGAATATCTTAGATTTGACAGCACAAAAATATGATTAATTGGTAGCAAGCATGATCTTTGTAGTTAGAAATGTGACTAATCACGTTGGTGTGAAAGAGGTTGTGATGGATTAATTTTTTTTTAATTGATATGTTGGAATATTAAGTTTTATAAGAGTAGATGACATGTTTTTTCACACGACTAATTTCATCTTGTGGGGGGATAATTAGCGTATTTTTATTTGTTAAATGCATTGAGGCAAACCTTTCTGATGTACATCATAGATATAAGTTTGACGTGATTTATAAAATGCATATCAACATTATTGGGCGTTGCTTTGAATTGAATAATGACGTGCATTTAGGGATCTTTTTTTTAAGTTAATGATAAGTTCTTTAAGTATATAAGGTACTTTTGAGGAAAATGGAGGTGTTGTGTAGAGGTTCACTATAATGACCCTGTCTAGTTATGTTAGTTTATAGGATAATGAGAATTAGTCTTTTAAACATATCATTATTTGCCTTGAGATGCTGTGATTCCCTATAAATGGACCAGCATCATTCTGAAGACAGCAATACTGATCACTGCAGTGAGGTTATTAATCACATGCTATAAGACAACTAGGCAGTTAGTACAAGTTATTAAATTCACCTAATGTACTCTATTAACAACTAGCATTTTCCTCAATGACCTGACTGCTATAATAATGAAATATGTCAGATTTTAAAACAATTGGCAAAAAGTTATGTATAGATTATTCTCACTCAATTATAAAATTTTTATATACGTTTATTCTATATGTTCCAGACCTTACAAATGAGGCTATAAGATGGCATTTCCCACCATAAAATTGCATACTAGCCACAATGTTATTAATTTTACGATTTATTTTTTATTTGCTTAGAATCACTACCACCTCAGATCAACTGCCATTAAGCTATGGGGATATGCGGCAATTAACTCGGCTGACCACTTTGCTCTCTCCTGTCATGCACAGCTGCCTGGAGTATGAGGCTGCCTCTCCTACCATAAATTCTGAATGTCAATCGACTATCATTCTAAGGTATTGTTGATTTCACCGTATCTAAAAAAAAAAGATGATATCTATATTAGAAAAGAATCCTTGGAAAACAATTGTGATAATTTATTACTACTTGTGATGATAGTTAGATTGCACTTTTTTCATGATAGGTATGAGAGGCAGGATTTTTATCAAAATTCTTCTACCCATGCCAATATTATTTTGTTTTTACCTAGCTAGCAATATTTTGTAATTCACACATGTGATGTAACATATTGTAAGAATAAAATGGAAAGATTTACGATGTTTAATATCACCTTCAAGTTATTATAATAAAAAAATAAAGCATTAAACCAAAAGGCTATACAGCGATCACCTTTAAAGATTGAAGTCACTTCTATCGACATATTCAATATATACAAATGATTCATAATATAAATATGAAATTGAATATACTTTTATGATTCCTAATATTATCAAGGTAATTAGAAATGAATGACAAGAGAGGTATATAGAAGGTTGATATTCTACCTTGTATTCAACTTATTATATCGAATATTTTTATGATGTGGGTATGTAGTGAATTATTATTATAATCAAAAAGAACCGGTAAGCCACAAAGATTATACAACACATTATATAGTGAAACAATTTTTAAATTTGAGTCTACAAGATTCCTTATAAATTATTATGATCAAACTTAGAAAGTTCTTGATTCAAAGTAAATAAATGTAGTATTAAAAGTAAATATCTTTCTAATTATTTATTTATTCATCCAATTGATTTTCAAAAGCCTGAGATGATTATAATTATAATCAAAAAGAAGCGCAAAAGATTGAAAAAGTTATATCAAACAAGTCTATGCTTGATGGAAAGGAAAATTATTATTATAATCAAAAAGCAAGGAAAGGGAAAGAAATTAAATTATTATGAATATCATTTTAATTTACAAATTACATTCATTAAATATATGAGAAAATATAGATCAGTGTTACAATAATGTTAAAAAAAAAAAAATGATTTCTGAAAAAAGCTTCGAGATCTCAAGTGAATACTAGAAAGGATTTCCCTTCTAGCATCCAGCCTGTTACTAGGTTTTCTTAATTAATCAATATCTTAATCAAATTATCCATTAGAATTATTAGTACTTCAGGATTACAACTGGTAGTCTACTAACTAGAGAAATAAAAATTTAATATACCTCTTGATTATTAATAAATTTATTAATCAATTCAAACAAATTAATAATTATTTCTCTCGTGTACATTAGTATTGTGCCAGGAGGCACATCTTTAAGTCTTAAGTACTGTCTGGTACATTAACAAGTAATAATATAATATACAAATAAATATGTGTATAAGTGCTCTAAGTAGTTCACAATGTCTCAAGACTCGACTAGACTTAAACAAGTGACTGACAAAGTCCTCAAATAAATTAACTTCTTAACCAACTGGCAATCAGAACAGTCTGTTTGAACAATATAACAAGCAACTGCGACACAATCAGGAACAAGGAGATAATATAAAGACAGCTAGTAGAGACCATCTGCAGATCCTCCACAAAACTCCCATACTACTGAATCTAAGTTCAGCATAAGAAAACCCCCAACTGTGATAATACACAGATACCAGTACAAATTAGGTCAGAAGCTACAGCTCAGCGTCTACGACGTACAACGTCGAAAATCACTATGTTCTGTGAACAGAGTTCCACAGAACCTACAATAATAATAATGAGAGTTAGGCACTTGTCAGGAATACGTCCAACCACCAAGTGAGTCTAGACCAGACTGAATACTTCACGCAAGGTGAGAACCCCCTCGATCACGTGATAGCTCAGTGGACAGTTGCTGCTCAGCAACACAGAAGCCGGCAGAGTAACAAGCGATAATTACAATAGACAATCAAGACTTGAACTATGAGCACATAATATATGAATGTTACATCCTACCTAACAATATAACTAAGTTAAATAAAAATATAAAGCAAATATTTAAATTTGCATTATACAAATAAAAAATTTATTGAAAAGGTTTATACATAACATTGTGACCCATCGGGTTAAAGTCTTAGTGTCGTAGGTCATTTCCCCCCCGCACTTGTATTATTGGGGTAAAAAACACATTTTAATCCATGACGGTCAATCACGGAAGCAACTATACGGGTTTTTAAAGCCTAAAAAATTTATATAGAGGTCTGTGATTTGACGATGTAAAATGGAGGTCGTTATAACGGTGAGTCAGACATCTTGATAATTGGCTGACATCTCACCAACTTATATATACTAAATTCCCATTTTACTCGGAAAAATCACGACCGTCTAAAAATTTTGATGCTTTTAGTCCCGTATAGTACTTTCCTTTGATTGACCCCAGCAAAAATTTTTATAGTGATTCTACCAATTAATAAAAGTGCGGGAAAAGCGACCTACGTCATATAACTTGCTGCTGCAACTTTGACCACACCAAAAATTTATCATTTTCCAATTCCCTCATTTAAGACAATTATATTTTTGTACATATATACAAAAGAATCTCATTATGTAATTATATAATATTCACCCTGGAATTATACGAAATCAGAATAAACACATTTAATAAATCTCTAAATATATACAAACTTCCAGGAATAACCCCTTCAATACATACACGTGAGATAAATCTCCAGTATACTAAAAATTTTTTATTATTTTTAAAGCAGACTCCCACAAGGGTAGCACATACATCAACCCCCAACTGAATCACTATCACAGAACTTCAACCCAACTTCCAGGAGTCATAAGATAGGACAAGCAGATGTGAAGGGACAATCCAAACTATCTCAGAGTTAATTAAAATTATTAATTACTTGACAATTACCCTTTGATATCAAGACTTCGTAATTACATCCAGGAACTGATCATAGAATATTGACATTCTGAAGGGTCTGATGGCTGGAGGGGAAATGAGGGGCCTGTGAACTGTTAAATACGTAGCTGCTCTGAAAGAAAACACCACGTGCATTGTAGGGGCCGGGACTGTAGATAGCCCCATTGTGCGGTACTGTATGTAACCACATATCTGCTGGAGTGTAGGTAACCTACAGTACTGCTGGTATTAGGTAACCTACAGAGGCTGGTACTGTTGGAACCACAGTAGCTGTGGTACTGAGGAACCTACATACTGTGGGGATGTAGGGGAACCCCACAGTAGCTGCTGGGACTGTAGGTAACCCACTTTGCGCTGGTACTGTAGGAACCAAAGTGTTGCTGGTACTGTAGCAAACCACAGTAGCTGCTGGAATGTAGGTAACCCCAGTAGTGCTGGTCTTTGGAAAACAGTAGCTGCTGAACTGTAGGTAAACCCCCAGTAGCTGCTGGACTGTAGGTAACCACTAGCTGCTGGGAAATGTAGGTAACCCCGTAGCTGCTGGTACTTAGGAATCCATAAAACTGCTTTTATTAGGTAACCACAGTAGCTGCTGGCCTAGGTAACCACAGTTTAGCTGCTGTACTGTAGGGAACCTATAGTCTGAAATACGAAGTAACCTCAGTAGCTCTGGTCTTAGGTAACCCAAATACTGCTGTAAATGTGGTAGACACATAGCTGCGGTAATGTAGGGAACCACAGTAGCGCTGGTCTGGGGTAACCACAGTACTGCTGGGACTGTATAGAACAGTAGGTTTTGGTACGTAGGGGCCACAGTAGCTGCTGGTACAGTATGTAACCTTCAGTAGGTGCTGGTACTGTAGTAACCTACAGTAGGTGCTGTACTGTAGGTAACCTACATAGGTGCTTGGTTACAGTAGGTAACCTACAGCAGGTTGCGGTCCTGTAGGTAACCTACAGTAGGTGCTGGTACCAGTCCGGTAACCAACAGTAGCTGCTCGGTACTGTTCGGTACCTACAGTAGTGCAATGGAACTGTAGGTAACCAACAGAAGCTGCTGTCTGGTACTGTAGGTATAACCTACAGTACTGCTGGAACTGTAGGTAACCCTACAGTAGCAGCTGCTATTGTAACTTAAGGAAACTGCTCTTTATTATTTAATTTCTTTCCTATTTATAATTCAGTTTAATTGCAAAATTGGGGGCCCGAAACTTAATGTTCCCCGGGTGTCCCCCACAGGTCTTAAGTCCGACCCTGATCAAAACTAAACACTGAACCCGCAAGAGATCTGGGGAGTGTCCAAAGCTCATTTCCGCTGCCTGAACCACGGTTCCGAGTGAGGTTGATGGTGCGCTGCACCCTCTGCAGTTCAGGCGAGCCTACCCAGTGCTCACAACCATAGAGAATGTGAGACTGTGGCTGCTCATTTACCAACATGGTGCGCTGCAGAGTACAGACGCAAGCAACACTTTTTTTTGCGTTTGAGTTGAGACCCTGGGGCTGTCACTGGAGCCACGATGGACTTGTACTACCGGCGATTATTCCGTGATACCTACGGTAAACGCAAATCGAAGAGATAATGTGGAGTAGCACTAATGGGACGACACGGATCTTCGTTAAAAAGACTTCAGCAAATGTTTTATGAAGCGGTGTGGAAAAGTATCAAGAGACCATTATAGCCGTCAATTCAGCTGTATCAGATACGTCTACATGATGTATCACGACACTACACAAGGGTTAAAATAAGGAAGGCCTTTTGTGAAGGCGAAATGAATTTGTTATAAAAGAATGAACTACGTAATTATTGTAACGGTTCATATGCCTCTGACATGTCGGTGGGCCGCTGACCTTATGCTATGAAGTTTGGAGGGAACATATTCAGTCAAATGAGACCTACGCCATCCCATACCGTCCTATATAATGTTGCAAGCCTTTCGAACTCAGTATATGTAACAACAGCGTGCAACGTCGTAACGTGTCGGCTGTGTGGATCTTATGGACCACATAGCGGCACAGTGAGTGATAAGCGTCGCGGGAATCTCCACATATCGCAACAGCAACAACCGGAAGAATTCGTGGAAGTGGAGGGAACGAGAACAGTCTAGCTCACGCTGTCTCGACAACGGACTCTTGGAGTGAAGAGGTATATAAAGCGCAGGAGAAAGGCTTTGGAGGATTGCAAAACAGCGAGAAGAATCATCACCATCACTGGATATAAATAAAGTATTTGAAGAGACTCTGCCCACTATGGGGACGAGGATGTAGCGGCGTCATTACGTGAATGCACTGGATGGTATTGTTAGACATCATCGTCAACCGTGTGAGGAACCAGGTGCAAAATTTTGGGATCGGTTGAGCAACATGGAGAGGCGACGGATGAAAAGCAATGAGTCTGGGGTTCGCATGGCATCAATGGTAAATATAGCAGAAGGG